GGGGGAACGGCAAAGGGGGGAGCCCCCGCCCCACTGCAGCTCGCCCAAGTGCATGCTGCACGCTTGGCACCCCGCTCAGCTCCCCAGGGAGCTGCTCGGGACGTGGCAGGTCTCTCCCAGCACCTGGAGAGACCCAGGTTGGTCCTTGGGATTAGCTGGGAAATGGGGGTGCTAAGGGTGGTGGTGGTGGGGGGGAGTTCCAAGTCCTAGCTGCCCGGCGTTGCTGACTTTGTCTCTCCTTCAGCAGTGCTGGCACCGGGCTTTTCTCTAATTCTCCATGGCAGCAGCACAGGGTCCTGTGACCTGTGAGCCTGACACCCGCATCCTCGGCACCTACCTCTCCTCGGAGCCCGTCGGCCTCGTCGGCAGCATGGGCAGCGTGGGCAGCCTGGTGGAGAAGCAGGATCTGTCCCCCCTGGAGCTGCGGGCCCCGCTGGGGGGCTCGCGGGGGCTTCGGCAGCCCGACGGCTTGCTGCGGAAGGGGCCGAGCCAGCGGGAGCTCTTTGGCTACCTGCATGGGGCCAAGAAGGAGACGCGGTCGGAGCGGAAGCACCAGACGTCGGGCGCCTGCTACAAGCGGGACTACGAGAGTGACCGCGAAAACCGGTCCCCAGAGCGAGGTTCTCGTGAGCATCACCGTGGGGCCGACTTCTCCAAGAGCTCCCTGCCCGAGAGGGGCCGCTTCGACAAGGTGAGGCTGTGGGCGCCATGCTGGGCTCTGAAATATGTCCCGCTCTGTGAGAGAATGGGGCTGGAGCAGAACAGTCCGTGTCTGGGATGGAACATGGGGATTTGGGGATGCCCAGGAATGTGGGGCTGGAAGCAATTGGGTTTTCCCTGGCTTGGGGCTTCTCTGGGGGGCTGTTGGGCTCATCCTGACGCCGCTCTTGTTTTTCAGTGCCGTATCAGGCCCTCGGCTTTCAAGGCGGTGGCTGGGAAGGGGCTGGTCTCCATGCAGGGCCTCTCCTCGTCCAAGGGGCAGAAGCTGTCCAAGAGCAATGGGAGCCTGCACACGCTGCTGTCGCAGAGCAGCACGGCGGCCTCGCAGCACGGCCCGCTCCGCACCCACCTGCTCCACGCCATCAGCCTGGATGAGGCCTCCGACTCCAGCCACAACTCCATCCAGAGCTTCCCCTCCTACGGCTCCCGCCTCAAGCCTGCCCAGAGCCAGTTCAGCGCCTCCATGGGCCACATCAACCACATCGGGGGTTCCTTGGACAGGGTCTCCCGGAACCCCAGGGACCCCCTGGCCCCCGAGAAGGCACCTCTGTCCTGCAAGAGCATGGCCACGCTGAGCCGGCTGCAAAGCCCTGGGGAGCCCCCGCCGCCCTATGAGTTCACCTACTCGCTGGAGGACGCGGTGAAGCAGCTGGAGGACCGGCTGCAGGAGACGGGAGGAGAGCTGCGGCAGCTCAAGAGGAGCCTTAGTGAGACCGAAGACCCCTTCACGCAGGTGAGCCGTGGGGCTGGGGCTGCACTGGGTGCCCTGGGCCGGGGCGTGGGGCAGCGGTGCCTGGGTGGAGGGAGCTGTGAAGGAGCTGGTATCCTGCTGTGGTGGGCAATGGGCTGGGAATGTCCAAGCACGGGAGGACCCGACATCACGGGACCTTCTGGGATCCCTCCCTGGGGCTGCCCCAGACCCTCACCAGAGTCCACCTGTGGTGGCAGGCGTTTGAGGACAAGCAGCGGCTGTGGCTGGACGAGCTGGAGGATCTGAAGCAGATGTACATGGCCAGGCTGCAGCAGGTGATGCAGCAGGCGCAGCGTGGGCAGCGGGCGCTGCAGCTGCAGCTCTACAAGGCACAGCAGGAGAAGAAGCGGCTGCAGGAGGAGCTGAGCATGCAGCAGTGCCAGTGCGAGGAGTCCAAGCTCCGGCAGTCCCAGGGGGAGCGTGTCAGCCCCAAGCTGGAGGAGACCAAGTGGGAGGTGAGTCCCCTTCCTTCCCTCCCTGTTGCCACCCTCCTGGCTGTGGAGCCGGGACGGGGGCCGCGGTTCCCTGCTCTGGTGTCACTCATGGCCACAGGGGATGAGCCAGGTGGGATGCTCGTGGTCTCCCAGGGATGCTGTGGTGACAATCTGGAGTGCTGCCATCCCTGAGGTCGTGCTCCTCCAACCCTTCCTCACTGCTTGCCCGTGCCCTGCAGGTGTGCCAGAAGGCAGCAGAGATCTCCCTGCTGAAGCAACAGCTCCGGGACACCCAGGAGGAGATGGCTCAGAAGCTGGGTGAGATCTTCAGCCTGAAGACGCAGCTGCGGGAGGCCAAGGCGGAGGTCCAGGCCAGGGATTCCCAGCTGGCACAACTGGCAGACTCCTTCCAGAGCCCCCCGGAGCCCGGTGCCTCGCTCCCTCTGGGCGATGACCCCATGCCGGCATGCCAGGACTTCCCCGGCTGCGAAACTGATGACTCCAAGTGCCGGGGCCTTCACAGCGACACGGCGGAGCCCCTGGAGCGGCAGGTGGAGTGGCTGTGGGCAGAGCTGCTGCGGGAGCGGCGCCAGGGCCAGCTGCAGGCTGTGAACTTTGAGCTGGAGAGAAAAACCTGGCAGGAGGAGAAGGAGAAGGTGCTGCGGTACCAGCGGGAGCTCCAGGCCAGCTACATGGAGATGTACCACCGGAGCCAGGTGCTGGAGCGGGAGCTGCGGCAGCTGCGGTCGGAGCCCAGGGATGTCGGGACAGACTCTCCGTGGATCGAGCGCGTGGAGTCCTCGAAGATCTGAGCGGTGGGATGCTGGTGGGACTGTGAAGGGGGAAGGTCTGTTGCTGCTGCAACGGGATGATCTCAGGGTCTGCACAAGGACTGGCCGCTCGGCGCTGCCCTGGGGAGAAGGACTGATTGCGACAAGGGAGCTTTTCCTTCTTGCAGCGCTTCAGGCCCTTCTGGGGGGGGTCTTTAGAGACCAGGGGGTCATCTGTGCCAGGGTGGGGGGTCTTGCATGTGCCCCGTGCTCTTGACTCCAGGAGCGCTTGCTCTGTGATGCCTTCTGCCATGAGGGCAGAAGCCAAGCGCTCTGTGAGACATTCCCTGTCCCTCCTGCTCTGCCGCCCCATTCCCTACAATCCAGTAACTTAATATCTTGCTAAGGAGAGGCTCAAGCCCTGTCCCCAGCCCCAGTGTCTTGCTGTGAGGTTCCAGCTACTGCTCGCCGTGGCTGCCCTGTCAGCAGGGTCCTGGAGCCAGCGGTGCCCTGTGCCTGAGCCAGTCTGTTTTGGTGCCACTGGGAAGGCAGAGGAGGAAAGCCTGACAAAGTGCTGGTACTGCTGGGAGCGGGGGCAGCTGCCCCAGCACCTCTGTTGGGGCTTTCCATGTCACCAGTGCTGGGGCTGCTCTGCAATGGAGGGTGGTTAAGGCAGCTTCCCAGCACCAAGCCCTTGGGCTGAGAGGGACAAGTGCCTTGTGCAGTGGGGGATGTGAGCCCGGTGACTCCGGGAGGCCTTCATGGGGGGTGGGGGTGGGGGAAAGAGGACTGGGGCATGTGGGCAGGGGGGCTGGGATGCTCCCCAGTCTGGGGAGATGTCCCCACATCCCCCCTCCTCCCAGGCTGGGTGAGGGTTAGCTGGGGAGCCGGGCCAGTGCTGCGGAAGGTGCTGGAAGGAGCCCTGCTCCGTGTCTGTAACAACAGAACCGGGTGAAGGCCCCGGCCCCCTTGCTCTCCTCGGCCTTTCCTGCAATAAACTCGGATTTCATCCTTCTGGCCGATGTCTTTGCTTTCCTCCAGCGCGGCGGGGGGGCTACGGGGGCTCTCGGCCACGCAAGGTGGGGTGCGGGCCGGCCTAGGCCTTGCTGTGCGGCCGCCTCCCGCCCCGACGCGGCGGCGGCTCCACCGGCAGCGACCCCGGAGGGGGTCACTGCCGGTGGAGCCGCCGCCGCGTCGGGGCGGGAGGCGGCCCCCGGGGCTGGCGGTACAACCGGTCGGGGCATTGCAACGGGCTGAGTCACAGCTGGGCCGGGGCCTGCGCGACCGGCTGGGCCCCGCGGGGGCGGGGGGGCTGCGGGGCGCTACCGCCGGGACAGGCCTCACGCTCCCCTCCCTCCTCTCCTCAATGGTTTAATCCAGCCCGGAGACCCCACGAGGCAGAAAAATCCCCCCCCTCCTCCCGCCGGAGTGGTCCCTCTCGCCCACCCATAGGGCGCCCCCTATCGGTGTGGAGGTCCCCAGCCCTGCCAGACCCCCCCAGCCCTGCCAGACCCCCCAACCCGCTCCGCCACACCGGGGTCCCCCCCGGTAAAAAGAGGGTACCGCGTCCTACAAACAGCTTTATTGACCCACATACACCCCACACAGTGCTCACCCCCCTCCCCACCCCATCAGTGTCCCCGCAAAGAGCTGAGGTGGGGGGACAAGGACCCCGCCACTGCCCCCCCAACCTCTGTCCCCATCTCTTCAGAGGGGCAAGGGCAGGGCCCCCACCTCCTCCAGGCACTCATCGTAGGTCTCCTGGTACTCCTCGTGGGGTTTGATCATGATGACGCAGGTTGGGCGCTTCGAGCCGGCGGCGGCTCCCAGGTCCTGCGGGAAGAGAGCAAAATGGGGAGGCTGGGGGTGCTGGGTCCATGTGTCCCCCACCACCCCTGGAGGGGAGGCCTGACACCCAGCCAACACATCCCATCCCCTGGTCCCAACACAGGGAAGATGTCTCCCCCAGCCCCTCAAGCTGGTACCTGCCCCACCAGCTCTCCCCAGAGTGGAGAGCCAGGCTCTGCATTGCTGCCTGTGGCGGGGGGTGACGTCCCAAAGACACTGACCCCCCCCCTCACTAAACTCCAGCCTGCCAAGGAGGGTGTCCCACTGACAGTGCTCCTGGGACAGTGTCCCGTTTCTGCGAGCAGCTGGGTCCCAACTCACAGGTGACAGGGCAGACGTGTCCCCTCTGTCCCACCCTGCTGCAGGGACTCGGTTGGGACACAGGGTTCTCTGCTCCCACGTCCACACCACGACCACAGCTCCCTCTCATTCCCCAGCCCTGGTGTTGAGATATTAGTTGTTTAGCTCAAATAAGTTAAGTTTTAATTACAATAAATTACTTAGGGTTGTAATACAGTGCGACATACTATCTGCTTAGCTCTACTCCGCACGAGTGGCTACATTTGCTGAGGCCTTTGGGCCACCATGGAGTTAATTTTCTGTGATTCTCCCAGCAGCTGGTACAGCGCTGCGTTTTGTGTTTTAGTACAAGAAAAACATTGATAAGGCACTGATGTTCTGGAATTGTTTTCCCTACGTCTGGGACTTTTCAGTTCCCCGTGTCCCACCAGTGAGCGCAGGTGCACAAGAAGTGTAAACCAGAAGGTACAGAGACAACAACCCTCAGCAGAGACTGCAAATCAACAAGGTAAGAGCAGTCAACAGCCGGCCTGCCTGCACACAGAGAAAGAATCCAGTAAAGTGTTGGAAGACCCCAGACCAAAAATCACCATCGGACCGCAAGATGCATGAACAGCACATTAGCAGAGGGTGTAGTGATTGCAAGGGTCTAATTGCCCTCCCTTTATTCGAGGCCCCTCCTTTTTGGAGGCACCAAGCCCTGGCTGCTGTATCTTTCAATTAAATTACTTATTTTTATAAAATCTGACACCCGATAGTCTGCTGTGGGAAACCTAGGGCCAAGCCTGAAGGAGGAAGGGGGACAACCGAGAGCAAGTGTGTGAGGAGTGGGGAGGGTCACCCTTCTGCTCACTGGGGTCACCCACCGCGAAGGGACCCTGCTCCTGGCAGTTAAGGGCTGGGGTGTGTATATGAGCCCTTGAATGGTGCTTGAACACTCGAGCAGCAGCTCCTCCTTTATCAGCAGACAAGCACCGGGTGTTTTACTCGGGCACCAGGTTTGCACCTCCCCGTGACGGCTCCTGTCACAGCCCGGGCCGGGTGCTGCCACCGGGGGGGTTCCCTCTCACCGGGGGCTGGTGCCTCCCGGCTGCGCGGCCCCCGCCCCAGCCCCTTACCGATTTGGAAGGGACGTATGCGTAGGGGAGGCTCCTGTCCTCGCACATGATAGGGATGTGGCAGTACACATCGATAGGCAGCGTGTCGCCGGCCAGCACCGTGATCCTGCGGGGGAAAGCACATCTCAGCGGCTGGACCGGGCCGTGCCGAGCCGAGCCCTGCCGGGAACAGCGGGGCCGGAGCAGCTCTTACCCCTTCTCGCCCTTGTTGATGAACTTCTGGACCTCCTTCACACCGCGACGGATCTGCTTGTGCTTGACCGCTGCAAGAGAAGCACAGCGTGAGGGGGCTGCACCGGCCTGGCCCCGGCTACGCCCCGGTCTCAGCGCCGTCCAGACCTTTCCTGATACACTTGTAGAGCTTGCGCGTCAGCTTGCGGGAGGCGAGCGGCTGGGCGATGGGGTTCAGGTAGTCGAGCTGCTCTCGGTACGAGCGCTCGGGCGTCCCCTCCGCCTCCGCCGCTGCCTCCGGCTGTTTCTCCCGCGCCATGTCCCCGCCGCCATGCGCCGCGCCGCTTCCGCTTCCGGGCCACGCGCTGCCCGAAGGGGGGCGGGACTAACAGCTGCCAGCTCCCCACCAGCCAATCGGCACCTCCCTCAGGGGCTGCCAGCCCATCCCGCCGGCCAATGGCGAGCGACGCCTTCCCGCCGCCGGCCTCCCTCCGCCCCACCTCAGCCGCCCGGGGACAGCCTTTCGACACCGGCCTTTACCGGGGGGCGGAGGGCTGGGCGGCCCCGGCGGGCACAGGCTGGAGCATAGCGGGGCCTTGCTGCCCCGGCGGCCTGAGGGGGCCGCGCTCGACCCGCTCTCAACCTCGGGACGGCAACGGGCAACCGAGCGCTCCTGCAGCGCCCGGGGGTCCAGGCAGCCACCGCCACAGGGCTGGGCCCAGATTCATCCCAACTGGTCACCAAGATGTTGTTCTCCCCCTTTTTTGGATCCCCAGGAACCCTCCCCAGGGAGGAAGGTTTCCCTTCCTATGCCCCTCCTAGAAACCGCTTTGTTCCTCGCCCCTTCAACCTGGCAGGCATCGCTGGAGGGTGACTGGGTCTGCTGAAGGCCACGGCTGCAGTGTCAGCACCTCCCGTGGGCTCCAGCAGACCTCAGGAGGCAGGGAGACAACGCTGCTCCAAAAGAAACAGGCCTCAGGCCTGGCTTTTACCTTCTGTCCCACCCCAGCTGCTCCCTTGAGCACAGGAGGGCTTCCCCCAGCATCTGCAGCTGCTCCAGGACCTCTCCCTGCATCTCCATGGCCATGTGGTGGATGTGGTGGTTAAAGCTGTTGTACATCATCGCGTTCTGGAACATGAGCATGAGGTCACGCTGGAACTGGACCATGGACTGAATGTGTCCCTTTGAGAGTCTTCTCTTTATGCTGGTTAAATCCATGGGCCTACAAAAGATAGACAGGAGGAGAACTAAATTGCAACCCACAGCCAGGCATTCTTCAGGCTCTGCATGAACGTGCTTATTCTCGTTTCAGCATGGCCCTGAAAGCACAGCTATTTTCAATCAATTTTATTGCTTAGGACAAAAAGGAGGAGTGAGAAATGTTTTTCTTTTAAGTCAGGCAAGTAAGTTTAGCCAATGCGACACCTTCTAGCCAATCAACTTGGCAGGTCATTAGCAGTCACCTCCAAAAAAAATTTGATGTGGAGCTCCTGAGAAGGCAAGCAGAGCGATTCCTGTAATTAGTCTTCATGAAGTCAGTCTAGGTCTTAGTGGAGAAAGAGAAGTTACAAAAATAGGTATCTATTAAAACCCCTAAAAATCGAATGGTGCCACTAGCAAAAATAGCAGTGCTGATAAGGGGAACATGATGGAGAATAAATATTACTTCCCTTATTTTGACAGAATGAGAAAATGAATGGTTGCAGAGACGACAACTGTGACCAGAATAGAATATGATTCAGCTCTGAAAAATGCCCTTAATCTCTCTGGGAAATATTCGTATGACCCACTTCTCCGCTGAGAGTAAAACATCTGGGGAGTGAGCAGCGGATGAGGAGAGGGTATTGTCTGAGGCACACGCTTCCAGCACGGGGAGAAGAGGCTGCTGAGCTGCAGAAGCTGAATCCCCTGCTCAGGCAGGGCTTACAGCTGCTGGGACTGTTCCTGGAGTAAGCTGGCCATGCAATGCCAGCAAAGGGCAGGCACAATTCCTACCAGCACCGTGTGAGCTTCCAGGTTCTCATCACCTGGAAGGGAGTTTTAATAAAAGAAATCAGCGGGAGATGCTGGTGCTGGAAAAGGAGGAATGAAACCTTCCCAGTGGCCCTTTGGAAACCAGAAAAGATAGAAAAAAACAGGGAGAAATCAACTAGTGAGACTCCCTCCACAAACTCACCTCTTCACCACATCCCTGTATCCTGGGGCTTGTTTCTCTGACACTGCTTTCAGGAATGGGCCACTGTATCTACAAGGACAAGCACAAAGAAAGACCTCTATCCGCCCCTCTGCCAAAGACAACATCACAAGAGGGACCAGTGCTTCCCTCTCCCCGCTGGCCATGAGGGCCACAGCCCATTAGCAACAGCCAGTACTCGCTGGCTGGCACGCCTCGGGATGGGAGGAGGCTGAGCCCCTCGCCAAAGCTGGCTGTGCCAGCTGTGTAGGAAGCAACATTTGGGCTCTGCCACATTAAGCAGAGGAAATAAATATGCAATGTTCTCTCCAGCTTTGCAGCACACAGCTGTTCTCGCTGCGAGGACAGCCAGAAGCAAAGCCACGGAGAGAAGCCAGCCTGTGGTGGCTGTTGTGGAGGGGAGGGCAAGGCCTGGTGACACAAGAGCTGGAAGTCAGGGCGACACGTTCAGGAGCCGTGTCAATCCCACCCTTTGCCCCCACATACCTGTGACTGGCTATCATCTTCCAGATGGACAATAGAGTTCTTTTGAAGAGCAAATGCTGCAGGGGGTTATCCCAGCTGAGCTGCACCCTGTGGAGGGAATGTATCAGCAGATCATCACACTCCAGGCAAAGTAGGAGGTGGGAATTCTGCTTGCACCCACCACATCCAGGTGGATGAAGTGCAGAGATCCTTTGCTGTAGCTATGCAAAGCCTCTCAGGGTAAGACGGTGGAAGTGTTCTGCATCTGAATGCACAACTAAACATCCAGAATGCAGGAAAATGCCTGGCAATAAGCAGAAACAAGATGCGAGCCAAGCAGCTCTAAAGGGCAAGATCAAGTTGAATAGAAAACCTCAAACTACTCTGAAATTCAAAACTTTACTGGGGTGGTTTTTATTCAGTTTCTCATGCCAAGAAACTATGGTTTTCCTTCAAAAGGTAGCCCAGGTGATCACACGTGTGGCAGAGCCAGCATATGGCTGACACATCTGTACCTGCCTAAGAGGGGCTAGTAATGCCTCTCTTAGGAGCTGGACGGGACATTACCTGACAAAGCATGATGCCCAGCTCACACAAGGCCTAGCTGCCTTAAGGAAACATGTATTTTCCATTTAATCTCTTATTTAATCTCTAGTCTTCTCACTTCAGTTTAGGATCAATGCCCCAAAATGCTGGCAGACCCACAAAGCACAAGTTTCCTCCTTCCCTCCTGTTCTCCTTGGCTACCTCACCTTCCTGGAAGTGACCTGTGCCATACACTTGTGCCTGCAAGAGAGCAGAGCGAAAACAAACTACTTACAGCTGCGTGTTGCCAGGGCTTCTGGAGTCCAGCGTGGGGTCTGCAGAGGTGCTATCACTATCATCTTGATCCTGGGGCTGATCACTTATCTCCTGTGGGTGCAGCTCACCTAAAGCTAGTTCCTCAGGTGTCTCTCCAGTCTTGTTCTAAAGAACACAGAGGAAAAGGAAGATACATCTAAAACATCAGCTCATCCCCTGAATCCTTTATCTACAAGTGAGCCTGCTGCACACCCCCTTACTGCAGGCAGCCTCAGCTGGGAGGTAGCTTGCTTCCTGTTATTCTAGAGGATGATGTTTGACCTTATTCAGACCTTCACTGTGCTGCCCAGCACTCCAGTAACAGCTGGGTCGGATCTCTTGGGTCACAGCCACCTCTGGCTAACACAAACACTATGGAGCTGATGGGTGCTCAGTGTTGTCTGTCTGCTTTTCTGGGAAGAGTCACGGATGTGAGAGGGCAATCAGGAGCTGAGGTAAGACTGCCTCAGGCTTGTTGAAGCTGAAGACACAGATAACAGGATCCCCTAGAGTGCAACAAGGTTGTTTCCTCACAAACTCCTACATGAATATGACAGAGAACAGACTCAGCCAGGAAGGAGAGTGTTGCTGTTGTTGTAGTGATTTGCCAATAAAATGTAGAGAGTGACAGGTGCAGAGAGAGAGGCTCTTTGGAGTCCAGAAGTGGGATTATGTGCAGAGGCACCTGAGAATTCTGAAGCATGGAGCTGATTCCTCGGGAGGGAAGTGGACACTGTGCTGTGTTTGGCTTTGACCACTGGCAGGACCACAAGGGAACTGCTGGGAATAACACCGTCCTGGCTGAACAGGTGAAATGAGAGAACCCTGAAAGATATTTCTGTCTCCAGTGTCTAAATTTGCAAGGGAACAAATGTGAGTGTGGAAAAATGGCACTCTTCTTCCACTGCTATGTTACCTCTCCCAGAAACACCTTGCAGGCTGGTGGGAGCTAACAGTCCCCCTAGACACAGGACTGATGCAAACCCAGGCTAGACAATGCCTGCTTCCAAGACATGACGGTCTCCAGGGGCAGATGGTTATTGCTATCATAGCCACGTGGGGCTGAAACCAGCCAAGCTGTGTGCTGCATAACACAGCAATTAGAACAAGGCAAGAATTCCAGTCTTGCCTTAAACCTGAGAGCAGACTGCCAGCTCTCATGAGTCACCTTTACACTGCCAAGGAGCAACTCCTCCAACTCAAATCTGAGGGTTTGATCTATAACAAGCTTCCTGTTCATAAAGATAACATACCCATACATAAAAAACATCCTTCCCCTCATACATTTCTTTTGCATTCTCTTTCCTGCTGTCTCTTCCTCTATGTCCCTGCCTCTCCTCGTAACCTGGGGCTTCCCCATCTCTTCTAGAGCTGATTTTCTTCACTCTCTCGTCTCTCATCCAGGACCAGAGGCTCTCTTAGGATCACCTCTTCCCTACCTCTCTTCCTGCGAAGTGTTCTTTCTCATCTTCTGCCAGGATGTGTAGTTGACTTTCCTCTGTTCCTGAGACTGTTGTTCCTGTGGTCTTTTCCTGGCACCTCACACCTTCCCCATTACCCTGCTTCCCAGAGCCACAGTAATCCCTCCAAGTCTGTGATGAGTTTCTGCTGCTAATACAGAGAGGTTCCATCATCTGGGCTATCTGCAACACAGAGATTTACTGCTTCAAAATGTGAAGGCAAAAGGAAGAAGAAATAAGCAGCACAGATGCTATTTTTGCTTTCACTCACGAATGCCTTTCCATTTTTAGGAATCCTTGCAAAGTCTTCTGATGAAGCCCTGTGTTATTATTACAGTGTCAGTTTACTGACATCTCTGTGCTTTAAGGTGAGCTGTGTTTTTGCAAAGCAGCTGCCTGGTTGCGGTGCCAGTTTTAAATGGGAGGAAGGGCTATGTTTGGGACAGGGAGCAAGTGAACTCAGGGGATCTGCTCCTCCCTGAGGCTGTTTCTGTGTGTAGAGGCCCTGAAAACCTTCATCTTTTAGGAGGGCCTGAACTACACTACCCACTTTCCTGTCCAAACAACCCTACCTCTGAGAAGAACTGGAGAAGACTGTCATCTTCACATGGACTCTCTGCCTTTTGGTAGTCTTCAGTATCATCCTCCCAGAGAGGCTCACTGAACTCCAGCTCATGGTCTCCCTCTTGGCTGCTCTCCTCCAGCTCTTCAGTATTCCTCCAGCTCCCCACATCCAGATCCAAGCTTGAATCCCAGCTGAGAAGAGACTGGAAGTCACTGTTCTTCTCTGACTCGCTGGGAGACTCTGTCTCAGACTCCCACCACCCCCAGGCATGGCCCACCTGCAAGCAAACATAGAGAGAGACAGCAATTTCTTTGTACCCTCATCCAGAACTGCAAAGCCCAGGTAATTTCCTGACATACTCAGAGAGGCAGAGCAGGGGAAGGACTCTGTGAGGAGAGCAGCCTACACCTGAGCCCACCCCTCACAGCTCTGCAACACAAACTGCCATTTCAGAGCAACTGAATTTCAGGTTTTCTGCTGCTTTTGCTGTGCTCTCCCCCTGTCCAGGGATTGGTGGGTTACTGTGCTCGGAGGATGCTAAGCTGATTAGGAGCATGTGGCTTTGCTGGATGCTACATGTTTAAGGTGCTGAAGGCATCCATCAGCAAGCTCAAACCAAGCCATGCCAGGCTCCTGAGCTGCTGACAGTTGTGAACTAGTGAGTCCAAGGACAACTCACTGAAATTCCCTTTGCTGCCCCTTGAGAACTGTTTATACAGACACTTCATTTTGAAAGTGACAGATATGATTTAGCTGGATGGTGATACCTTGTATACCCGAACCAGAAGAATTATAACCATGCACAGCCACACACTCGACAGGGCAGAGTTCTACAAATTTCAGAAAATATAAGTTAGCGTTCTCTTAAGAAGGAAAAAACCATTCATTTAATCTCTGTTCACGAGTCTACTACTGTGTGAGGCCACTATGATTTCTCTAAGTCAGAGGAATTGCAGAGTCACTGTAACAACAGTAAAGGTTGTTAGAAAAATCTCCATCTCACCATTGAACTCAGCTGCCTGGATGCTGTACCTATGGAGAATTCTATGCATTAATTAGCAGTGTCTGTAGAGTTTTCAGTTAATTATGTACAACCTAATTTTTCCAGAGTTTTGAACAAGCACATTTCTCACTGATTTCCTTTTGCATTCTCAGGACTGCTAGCACAGCTACAAATACAGCTTACGGTGCATAACTTGGAGAAATAACGAATCCGTTGGGTTTGGGAAAAGAAAACACTTTCGCTTACTTTATGAACTTGCAAGCAGAGCTAGGATCTGAAAGGTTGTACTTCTGAAACCTCTGTCAAAGCTAACTTCAGGGAAAGCAGATAAAATTTGATGAGGTAAGAGATAACATTACCTTCTCTCAGCTTCCAGCTGAAGGAGTTGGGCAAACTGTGATTTCATTGGAAGAGTAACCCCGTGCCTGGAGCGCTTTGCTGCGCCATGGGCAGAGCTGGCTGCACACACAGAACCAGCCACCGCAGCTCAGCTGCAGAACAGAAAAGCCTTAGCCTAGGGTAATCCAATCACTTCTGATCATCCTGCTGCACGCCCGTGGACAGGGATAAGCATTTTAAAATCAGGAAGCCCAGGGAACTTGGGCATAAGCATCAATTAAGAAGATCTTTGGCCTTATGTTCCATTTTGCTAAATCTTGGAAAACTCAGGATGACAGAAAGTGGAACAGCAGTGTTAGTGCAAGACAAGCGGGATGAGTGAAATAATTACAGACTGCTTAGTTCCATATCAATTCTGTACAAAAAATAAGGGACAGAAAGATACAGACTTCAACTATTAATTAAGAACTGCCTGACAGTTCTTAATTATGTCGGCTATGTAAGTCACCAGCAAGGAATCATTATCAAATTGGAAAGTTTTAGTTCACTTTGCAGAGATCAGACACCTCTGCGCAACCCTCGATGATATGAGAAAAAGCTGTTAGAAAGAAAAAAGACGGCCTTTAAAAGGAACTTACATGTCAAAACAAGAAAAATGATAAAAGACGGAACTCTAGTAAATGAAATGTAGAATCCACAAAAAAGTAGGAAAAAAAAAAGGAAAAAAATGAAGAACAATTTGCTAAAGACATAAAAGCAAATAACAACAACAAACCTCATCAAAAACATCAGAAGCAGAGAGCTGCCAGATGATCAGGGGGGATGACGCATGATCAGTGCCAAACATCTCAGCGGAAAATAGGGCCAGTTGGAAAAACCAAATTAATCATCATTATTAGCAGTTGCCACAGAGGAGATCACACGAGACTTTTCTCTTGGGATTGGCCTGAAAGACTGTTTCTAATTAAAATGTCAACAGGGGAGGTTTTAGAACAATTTGAAGGAGACCTTAAAACCAGTTGGGATTCACTCGTGAGTCCTAAAGAAGCTTAAGTATAATGTGACCAAACCTATGTTGTGTAACCTGTCATTTAAGTTACCCACAGCACAAGAAAAACAGAAAGATGCAATTGTTCCGTCTATCTGTGAAGGGTGGATGTTGGGAGATGCAGCACAGTAAGCCTGAGCTCTGCACTAGACAGATCAGAACAAAGTGTTAGGAAGAACAGAATTAGTAGTCAGAGCATGAGGTGATGAATTGGGAAAAAGGCAATGGGGCTCTGTGGAGGAAAATAATCTCTCAGATTTTTAAACGTCTTAAACATCGTTAAAGGCTATTAAAATGTCATGGGACAAGAGAAAAGGCTCGTTGAGGGAAAAATACCTAGTTAAGAGAAGAAATCAAAGGTAGAATGAACAGCAATGCAAAAGCAAGTTACTAGCAGGCATGACAGAAGTCCTCCCACATGATTCAACCTCTTTTTCAACATGGACACAGTCGGGGCAGAGGTGTCAGAGAGGAGACCAAACCATTCTTCTCAGTGACCGACAGCGAAAGGAGAGGAGGCAGTGATGACTAAGGAAATGCACCAAAGGAAATTCAGCCTGGACACAAATATTTACTCCATGAGGGTGGGCAAGCACTGAAACAAGTTGTCAGAGGGGTGAGGGAATTTCCATCCTTGATTTTCAACACTTGACGAGACAAGGTTCCAAGGAATCCAATCTACCTTTGAAGCTGGCCCTGCTTTGAGCAGCAGGTTGGACTAGATAAATGCTCAGAGGTCCCTTCCAACTTAAATTATTCCATAAAATACCAGAAACTGAAAGAAACCTGTAACCTTGTGCTGTGGACTTAACAACCTGTCATCTCTGGAAACTGAGGCCATAAAAATTCAAATTAGACATTTGTTCCCAATTTCAGTAGTGAAGCAGAATTAACCAGCAAGCAAACGAAAGGATTCTACATTTCTCGCATCAAATGTAGAGTGACTGTCAGTGGAAATATACTCAAGCCAAACATGAGACTCAACACAGCAGGCCCAACCAATTTCAACACAAAACTTGTGAAAATCAAGGTAAAGTAAGAATCCCTCTGATCTTAATTGCTATGACTCAGTTTCCTGCAACTTGTGTCTCAAAGAGCTGCACCCTGTACATGCTGCATAAAGATGTGGACTACTCCCAGCTGCTGCAAGCATCAAGAAGGATAATGCTCTTCTGTTTTCTTTTTTCTCTGGAAGGTCATAGGGGCAGAAAATATGCAAGTTCCATCTCACGGGTCATATGAACCGAAAATAAGGTGACCTAAAAATTGTCACCTAAGGGAACTTAAACCTCAGTTAAGCACCCATGTTGCTGAGGAAAAGAACCGCCATTTCCAGTACAGAGAAACAGTTCACAAGCTCAGATGTAAAACCAGGTACTGGCACCACGCCTACAGCTGCTGGAATCACAGATTTTCACACTGACTAGTGTACCCTTTATGAATCTCTGGAGAAAGAATGTAAGAAACATTTCAATTTATCAGTCTCTTAAAGAAAGCTCCAACAAGACTGCAGTATTTAACTTCTCATGGTTAGATCTCCTGTTTCATCACAACAGTGCCATATTCTCACACACTCAAGCAGGGAATCTTCCCCTCCGTCCAAGCACTATGCAACACTCCCACCATTAATGGATTGGCACGAATGTCAAAGCTCTGCCATGCTTGTGTGCTATATGGATAACGGGAAGAGGGTTGTATTTGCAGATATTCAAGATGGGTAACGCAGGCTTGTACAAAAGCAGGGTTGCTCCCTGCAGAGAGCTGCGATGCTCAGTACACTGCACACCGTACACTGGATTTGTTCCCAGATTTTAATATACATACACATTTACACATCACTAGTAAAAATCTGTACACTTCACATTACAGTACATACGAGCCACCAGTTGCTAGCTAACACCAGAACACTGATGAAGCCCAAGACGACTGCCCTAAAACAGGCAGGGGGGCTAGTCTTCCCCTCCAGGGAAGTTTCTTTGGGTTACACATTCCGACGAGACACTGCTTTCCAGAGGGGCAAGCGAAGGAGGTGGATCAGGTCCCAGAAATGGACCTGCAGCTTTTCTTCTTCCTCCAAGAGCTGTTAACTGCATCGTGCTTGCACTCCAGCTTGGGGATGCCAGGTGCTGGGATTTTTCTGTCTTCCTGCAGCATCATTTCTTCATCTTCATGTCTGCCTCGATGGCACAGCGACGCCCTCTGGTGCCGCCGTCCTAGTCACAAGGCAAACAAAGGGAGTGAGTTATGCAACCCTGAACACAAAACGCTTCCTCCAGCACTCGGGGAGGTAAGGGATTGTGCATCTGGTAACAACTTTTCATGCCTTCCAATAAGGAAAAAGGAAAGCTGTCCCTAAGAAGGCCTGGGGAGGCCTGCCTGCAGACCTACCTAAAATTCACTCTGGGCACAGCACAGGTGCTGGGATTTGCAGCATCTCTGTGCGCTGCTGGCAGCCAGGGCAAAGAGAGGCAACAAGGCTCTTGCCCAGACAGATGCTTGTGGAGCCTGTATGGTGCAGGCTTTCTCCTAAGCGTCAGATTCTAGCTAGATGGGAAGAGGAAACTGCTGACTAACCTACCTTATCAGCTGCTGATCCCTATGGGAAGTGCTCCTCCAGTTGAGTGACCCTGGCACTAGCTCCCTAGTTTCTCCGCACAGCTCCTTTCCATGAGTAGAAGGCGAGCTGAGAGCTTCCTTTGATCCGCTGCCCTCTCCCTCTGGCTGACATGCTGACTCTCCAGGAGTACTCCTCTGTCTTTAGATATATGCGAGAGAAAAAAACAACTCTCCATCTTCCTCCCCTCTCTCCTCCCCGTAACTCAGAGACTTGGGGTTTCCCAGAGGGAATATTTTTCCAAATACTTCCACAGGCAGAGAGCAAGGTATTTCTGCAGAGTATCTTATTTCCTTTCTGGACCATGAATGATAAAGGAGTACACAGCTGACTCTTCACTTTCCCAAGACCCTTTGTACTGTCTCGAACATGTGGAAGGGGCAGCTGTATAAACATGAGAGATATAAGAACTACAGTACTGCACCACTTTATCTGTCTTCCCACTTACATGGAAAGAAAGCAGGAGAGAAGTTGTGAAAAAAAGCAAAGGCAGATGACAAAACGAGAACACTTGGAACCAGAACAAAAGGCTGAAGCCCCTCCCACTCACCCACGCTGAGAATAAAGGACTGAGATGTTTCTTCTCTAACAATCATAGTTGTACAGCCCGTAAGTTAAACGCACACCGCTGCAATGCTAAGGATGCTGTGACAGTGCAGTGATCACCCAGACAAGGAGCAGAGCACTCTGCCAGCAGTACTGCAGTACCTGCTGGAGCCTTTCAATACTTACAAAGAGAGAGAGAAGGAAGGCAGGAGAGCCCATTGGGACACTGTCCTGTTAAAAGGCCAAACAGAAGGACTTATCAGATATCAGATACAGAGATGCACACACCACACAGAAGCACTGCGCCCACACACGAGCATAGAGAAACATGTGCCCCACTCCCCGTCCCGCATGGCATCAGTCTTATGCAGCAGAACATCAAAATGGACAAAAGAGGGATACTGCGAGAGTCAGAATGCTAGAAAAGGGATATTCCCTCCTCAGCCATGGCAAGGTGTGGTCTACTGAACAATTTCTGCACTGTGCAGTTGCCACTAGAACTAAGCAGGCAGTCCTTGCTGCCGCAATGTTGTGTGCAGCAGCTGAGAGCACCTGAGGTCACTTAATCAAGTTTGGATGTGTCTTAACAGAAGACAAAAACCAAACAAAACTACATTGCTATTAGTCCAGATCAGTGCAGAAGTCGTAAGTTCTCCAGTGTGTTTTATAGAGCAAACCAGACTGGAGTGATTCCCTGGTTCCAAAAATCTGACTAGGAAGTGAAGAACACAGCAGAGCCTAGTCTTCCAGTTGTCTACACCTTCATCTTCCTGCCACATCATGCCTCTTCCAATACTCTGTTCATTTCCCTACAGTTTTCATCCCCTGTTTTTAAGAACAGGGAATAGAACTATTGGGATTACAGAAAACACTCATGAGACCTGCCTCTGGGATGACATACACATCCAGAGATGAAATCTAACCCATAGACACATTTAAAGAAAAACTTCACATGAAGCTCTTGGACCTATTGCAATCTCAAAGAACATTCTGCCTCTCTTTGGTATGGGAACTTCATGCAGTACCTTCTTCAAAACATACCAAGTGCCCTTCACAGGGCAGGGTGCAGCCCTCCACAGGGTGCAGCATTCTCACCTTCTCCGAAGCATCTTGCTTGCGAGTGGAATCTCGCCCACGCAGGCTCTTTGCACTGATCCCTGACTCTGATGTTTGCATGATCAGTTGCGTGGCCAGAAATTGCTGCAAGGAAACCACGCTCTGTTAAGATTCGCAGGCAAAACAAGCTCAGTTAGTGCGTGTCAGTCAACTATCACAAACCACAGGCTGGGAATGATTGGGTCAGAGACAGTTTCAGTTCCTCGTCCGCTGCTCAGAATAAGTTACCCCATTTACCTCAGAAGCCACAAGTCTCCTGAGGAACTACAAAACCCCAGTTCAAACTCTCTTAGCCATGCCAGCTGGGACATCTTACTTCACAAAAAATTTTAAATGGCATATATTGACAGGACACAGTTTCATGTACACTTTATACTGGCATACACTGGCACAGCCACCGAAAGAAGCAATCGCGTCCCCTGTCATTCAAGGTTCTTGTTGCTTGTTTCTGTTCCTGAACCACACCCTGGTTCTTGCTGGCCTAAGCATTTCCTTGAAGGAAACTAGATTTGAAATTGGTCTG